GAATCATACTTTAACCACGGCCTTATCTTTCAACAAAGCTTCGACCGCTCTCCATCCAGAATCCAAAGCTCCATCAAATGTGGCACTAGTTACATAATCTCCACATACGTACAATCCGCGATTTACTCTCGGGCTCTTCCTCAAATCCGTGGGCGGGCATTGGTTTGGCTGGGCAAACGCGATCCTATACAGCCTCAAATAACTCCACGAACCAACCACTGCCTCCCCAAACCACCCCGACAACTCCTTCACCACCGTCTCCACCAACTCTTCATCGGACACATCATCATACAGCCCAATGAGTGACACTGACACCAATGCCTTGCCAGGTGGGGCATACGACTGGGCAACATTGGTCGCGAAAAACATGTTATTTACAATCCCTTGACCTGAGCCATTTAAGAACAAAACCGGGTCTTTAACCGGGACCTTATCACTATCCATCGAGAAATACAAACAAACAGTGCTCCGAACAGGCTTCTTCACCCGACCCGGATCCCATTTCCCTACCAAAATCTTAACAGCTTCGAACTCTTCAACTGCCAATATCACTCCTAGTTCACTCCTGATGACTTCCCCATTTTCCAAATTTACAGTTATACCCTCCTCCGACTCCTGATTTATCGCAACTACCCTCGAATTCAGTATAACTGAATTAGGGTCCAATTTACCCGCCAATTGTTCGGGAATTGCGGCAATGCCGTTCGCCGGGAGGGTGTTATCTCCGAGAGCCAGACATTTGAATATAAAATTGAAAAGACGCGACGTGGTTTCCAGCTCCCTATCAAAGAAAATCCCCCCAAAAAAGGGTCGAAAAAATCGGTCCAAAATGGAATCCGAAAACCCAATTTTCCTCAACAAATCAATCGTCTTCACCTCCTCGGCAATCAAAATTTCATCATCTGACTGTGTCCAAACCCTAATTCTAGTCAACCCAATCAATATTTTATCAAAAACACTACCAATGGGGTTTGCAACACTCTGTAAAGAATCCGAAAAATGACGTAATGGGTCGGCTACGACGTGAAATCCACCATCATAGTAAACCTGCGCCCCAGAGTAAAACTTCTGAAGATTCAAACTTTGGTAATCTAAAAGTTTTTGTGCTTGAGGATAAGCAGTGATGAAAATTTGAAACCCGCGATCAAGAATGAAGCCGTCGACGAAGTCGGTGCGCACACGGCCACCGACGGCGTCGGATGCATCCAGGAGGAGGAATGGGATCTTCTCAGCATGAAGCCGAGTCGCAGCGGCCAAGCCGGCTAGCCCAGCGCCAATGACAACTACTCCGGTTGATGGGGAAGAACTTGGGTTGTTGCTGTTGGCTGGAGGAGAGTCTAGGGAGATTTGCCGTGAGGAAGCATTTGGTGGTCTTGAACTGATAGATTTGATGTGGGAGGAAGATGGGTATGAATGGAATGAGAAAGGAAAAGAGAGTGCAGTGAGATTCATTTGGCAGAGGAAGGGACTTGTTTCTGTGTGATACTACTGTGATGTGATTCTGTCCTTTGAATGGGGTTTGGTTCTTCATTATCCACTTGTCATCTTCATTATCCACTTTGCCTCTCCTAAATGAATCATGCTACTTCATTATTTGACAATCTCCACATCATCACATTTAGAGTGTGTTTAATGCACGTTAAAATGAAAATAATGCAATTTTTTTCTGTGATGTGATTGTGAATATGTAGTTGAAAAAAAAAATTATTGATATGATGAAAAATATTATTTTATTGAAAAATATGTGGTTGAATATGAGTAGAAGAATGAGAATGTGGCTCAAACAGGGGCTTAACCATAATTGTCAAAAATGATTGTACAAATAAGTTAATTCTCCTAAAATTACATGGCTAACTTGGCTCCATGACACTAGCTAGTATGTATCTCCTAAAACTAAAATAATGAAAATTTTAATTAAAACTACTCATATCAACCCATAACTACAACACTAGATTAATTCAAAAATAAATTAAACATAGTGCATAACATCCTCCAACCAGAACTTTGGTCCAATATCTAAAAATGCAGCAAACCAATTTCAAAGGAGACTTTCAATTCAACCTTTGTTATTTCCTTCCAATTATTTCATAGATCATCGGCAAGCTAAATCCATCTCCCAGACATTGGCTTCATAAAAATTAGCAAGTTGAACATGATATTACCAAAGGCTTAAATTAGGGATACAAGGTACCTGAATCAGCTGCAGTTGCCTCAATTGAAGGGATTCAGACTTATGAAGTATAATAGTCGGAAAGATATAAACACACATTTCTGCTTCGGTGAACAGGTAAGATCAATGTTTGCAACAATATACCCATAACAGACATCTGATTTATGTTAGTTATTTCTATTTTAAAGGAATCGTTAGTAGGGCAAACATATTCGCGACAGTGCTGAAGTATGTCAGTTGTCTACTCAATAGTCCCGTCTATATAGAATTTTTGTGGCCGAAAAGAGAAGTCCATACTCAGAATGGTTGTATGGTATTCAAACGAAGTTCACTCAAAAAGCATCACAAGTTTGTTGAAGCTAAAAGGGAAAAACAATTAGTGACAAACATACACACATCAATTAAATAGTCAGTTCCATACTCTGGTAGTACTAAAAATTTTCTCACGAAAATTCAGAATCTATTTTTCGCAAACTAGGCAGCATTCATATTTTCCTATGATACGTGATCTATAATCTACTCTCACATTACGAAGAGTTCTTGTAGAAAAGAAAGTAAACTTAATGCCATAAACTTGAGTAGAACTATGAATTCTAGGTGGCTCACAGAGAATTGGAAAAGGGAACCATTTCTTTTGCCAAAACACTATATAAAGTCAATATACGATCTGATGCCTTGAGCTTACGGTCCAAATTGGTGCATCACACTCATGGTAATGATTGAAGTTAAAGAGTTTCAAAATTTGCTAATAGGCTGATTGGATAATATCATCATTCATGCTTTATGGTTTATCTGCGTTGATATTGACTAACAAATAAGCCAATGAGCCATATCAGATGCACTACATATCTCCAAACACTACGTTCCACCTGTCAAATGACTTAAATGGTAGCAAAAAGCTACAGAAGCAAAATGAAGCAGCAGAATGTTAGATTGCCAATCAAAAAAGGATGCTTGCCCGATCAATCAGAGAAAGCACTGCTATGAAATATCATCAAGGGTTTCTCCAGGAACAAACAGAAATAGAAAATCTAGACCGAAAAGGTACACATACAAGCACAAGAACACAGAGAAAGAGGCAAGCTCTTCTCGAGTTTTACAGCGTGTCAAGTATGAACTTTTAATACACACAAGTTTAGAAGACATATTCTTCACCTCGAGGTACTAATATGCACATGGTATCAGACAAGAATACTGTCTATTATCAGTCAAGTATACTGTGAAATGTTAATCACAGTGTCCATTAAACTCCAGTCTTTGTGCTACAGCCTGTAAATTGTTCCAAAAACAAATAACTGTAAACCCAATGCAAAAATATGTTTCTTCCAAAGCAGTTGCAAGTATGGTGAGTCTATTTTACCTTGGTTCTGCAACCAAAACCGAGTAATATCATGCGGATTCTTTAGTAAAAGCATCTACTCCTGGCAGAATTCCAGAAACACTGGCAATCTTTTCCTTGAATGGATAACATAGAGGCCCCTCCGTATGTAAGCATCCACGTCTTCTTTTGAGGGATTATTTTCCTCAAACGAACCAGAAGATAAAGAGACAGCTATACCATCGTCAAGAGGAGTCCAATCTGAGTTCGTGAATGCAGTAATTGAGGTTCTAGTTCTCCCAACGGCACCAGATGTTTGTTCTACTTTGGTGGATAATGTTGGTAAGGCCATTGGTATTGGCAGTGGTGGAGAGAGGAATTCTACTGCTGGTTTGACTTTGTGATGAACAAAGAGGAACTTTGAGCCATGTGACGATCCTGATCCACCTGAACTGTTGGATGATTTGCTGCTCGGTGCCTACAAAATTGCAGAAGCCACAAAATATGTTAAAAGAAAACATATACAAAATCACCACTTCTTAGTTCAATTGATTTTAACTTTTAAATTTATGTTAGAGGATTGATCAAGAAAAACATTTTATCAGTTTTATTCCTACCTCAAATTTATTCTTGCCTGAGAAATGAATAGGACGGAGCTCTTCTTTCCCGTGAGCAAACTGTTCAACTTGGAATAAATGCAATTGCATTACAATTATATGGTGAGCACAGATCAAAATAGTATATTCTTCATTCAACCACATGGTACTACAATTAAAGCACGTTAATGTTTAAGTACTCAACAAAACAATGAAGAAACAAGACATTAATCTGAACCGTGTATTGATCTCGTAAATACATATAAACATTTCGGTTACGATACTTCATGATGAGAGGGAAGAAAAGTGACCTGGCATTTGGAACCAAATCGGCATATACCGGAATCCTCCCAAAACGGACACATTTCAGTTCTGTAGTCAAAGCTCCTACCAGTAATGCTCTCAATTTCCCTGCAGCCGCCGGATTCAGATGATATCGGCAGTGACCTACCCCTAATTCCTCCGCTACGGCCGCCTTTATTAAACTTCCGTACCGAACTTTCGTCCATCACCAGCACATCCTTCTCGAGCTTCACCGGTGGTGACTCCAGGTTCTCAATCGCCGCCAGCGGCGAGAAGTACTTATTGAAGGCTGTCGCCAGCGAGGTGGAATGGAGATACTTCGGCGGTGATGGAGATTTTGAGCCATCGGAAGCGTACGGATCGGAGATTGCAGTCAGTCGCAACTTCTGATAACGACGGCCAACAAAATCCTTTATATTGATTGACGAATCGCTGTAGTTCAAGGACTTGTGCTTTGAAGCTTTCAAGGAACTATGAAGGTTTTCCATGGAGTTCTCTTTCTACTGTTACAAGTGAATGAAATTGAACTCGTATCTACGAATTCATGTTAACATAATCAAAATTGCATCGGAAATTCAGAAATTTTGCACGAATTGCGACTTCAAGTTACATTAAGGAAATTCAAACCTGATGTTTCTTCAACATATTATGCATGTGTACATGCAAAAGGGCGCCATATCTGTATTTGAAATCCTCAAAATAACAGAAGGAAGTGATAAACTTGAGAAAAGTAAATTTAACATTTTATAGGTCCAAAACCATCCACCCTTGCATTTAAAGGGAAAATAATGCTATATCATTTATATAACATTTGGCTAAACTTAAAATTCAATTAAAATTGAAAATATAGCCGTTATTGGGTCTCACTCGTTTAATAAAAATCAACAATAACGATTAATTTTTCAATTTTAATCCGATTTTAATCTTTAACTAACACGCCCTTAATAATAATAATAATTTTATTCAATATCACGAGTGCTTAGTACATATCTATGTGATAGTGGAATTATTGTTGTATGGTTCAATATAGTGATCTCAGTACTACATAGACGGGTGCTAAGCACCAGTGAGAATGGACAACATTACTCATGATGAAAGTTGCTTGTGAATTCAGTAGTACGTCGAAAAGTTTCATGCCTTCTTGATAGAGTCAATGTCAAGAAAGTGTTTAGTTTCAAGAGGTCAATAAATAAAGAAGAATAATTACAGAGTCGTGTTTTTAATTTTTGATAGATCTACTGAAAGACCCTCTCCAAAATTGTTATGACCATAAAAATTATGTACGAATTGAGGATGATCCTCAAAGTGAGACGAAATTAAATGATACGATGAATAAAATGGATATTTTATTTATACATTTAATTGGTCTTATCATTTTATCTCACACCATCTACTACACAAATGGAGATGATTTCCACTTCGTACATATTACATTATTCTTCATGTCACGTGCCATCTAAATTGGTATTGAATATTAGTAGAGCTAAACAACATTGGCCGTTTGAAAATTTCAACTTTAAGGAGACTTCAACTTCATATCTAAACTCTACTCGAATGAACCAGCTCAGAGTTTACTAGTTATATGAATAAACTTCGACCAAGTGTATTAACATTATCAGCATTAGAGAATTCATGAATGCGAAACCATTACCAAAAGAATAAGCTGTATAATTACAAAAATACCCAAACATTCAAAGTACAATGGGAATAAAAATCCTATTACCAACATACAATACCAAATTACACGGTATCACTTGAAAAATTTCAAGAATTACACACATAGTTACAAAGTAAATTATTCAAAATGCTAACACATTAACACAAGTCGAAGATTTTTCTAAAACCAATTCAAATCCCCATCACTAGCATTCTTCAGGTTTCCCCCAAGTAAGGACATGAGTCCACCACCATGCACCCTTCCCTCCGGAACCACATAATCCAAGCTCTTTCCAGCACTGGTACTGTCAAGGTTGCCGGTATTGCTTTTTTCCACTTGCTTCTCGGGACACAACGAGGCCTTCATCGGCAAAGGAACCAATACCTGAGGAGGTATAAGATGTGACCTTTTTGCTGGTTTTTCAAGTGAATCGGGAGAATCCGAGATCACACTAACTCCGGATGAAGAACAAGTGTTGTCGAAGCTGCTCCTAGCAGTAGAGGCAGCTGGTACTAATCCGTGGAAGAGTCCAGGCCCAAGCATTCCTCCTCCATTTGTTGCTTGTCCCCGAACCAGGCTGCTATGTGCAGCACATAGCCCACTCTTTCCTCTTGCAAATTTTTCACATTTTCCACCTCCCCAGTTGCACCTCTTTCCACCACCATGCGCCTTGCAGAAGTCGGTGCTACCTTGAGCGCTCTTTCCACAGTTTTCAAATTTGCAGCGCTTTCCTCCACCATGCCTGACACAGCAATCAGTTCGGCCACGAGCACTCTTGCTGCAGCCTGGAACAACACACCTTTTTCCACCACCATGAGCAACACAGAAATTGGTACCTCCGTGCACACTTTTTGGGCATATCCCACCACCATCAAAGAGGCAGCGTTTTCCACCACCATGCCCTTTGCAGAGAGGCGTACTCCCCTCGGCACCTTTGGTGCACCCTGTAAATATGCACCGTTTTCCACCACCGTGTGCTTTGCAAAACATGGTGCTACCTTGCGCACCCTTGGTACAACCCAAGAATTCGCATCGTCGTCCACCGCCATGGGAGATGCATAAGCCAATCTGTCCCTCAGCACTTCGACTGCAACCTTCCACCTTACACCTCTTACCCCCACCATGCCTGATGCAAAGACCCGACTTTCCACGGGCAGCTCTAGTGCACCCTCCTGGATACCCACATCTTCTTCCACCACCATGTGCTATGCAGTGGTCTGTCTTCCCTTCAGCACTTTTAGTGCATCCAAGATGCTCACACCTCCTGCCTCCTCCATGGGCTTTACAATAGGCAGTTCGGCTCTCAGAACCTCTATTGCATCCAGGTTTCTGGCATCTCTGTCCACCCCCATGGCCAATGCAAAGACCCGTTCCCCCTCGTGCTCCTTTTGTACATCCAGTAAACTTGCATCTTTTTAGGTTGCTAGTTCTGTGGTCTGAAGATGCCCCAGCTAGAGTAGGTTCAGATATGGTGCTCATCGAATAATTAGAGATGCTAGAAGGTTCAGCACTGAGCTCGGAAACCTGGCATTGGGATTTTGCACCAAAATTTGAAACCTCATCAGTCATCAACGAAATTTTATTACTTTCCATTCTAGGAGCCAAAAGTAGTGTCGGCATATAGCCACCGGATTTCTTTGCTGACGTAGAACCCTCATCAACAACAAGGGTTGCAAGCCTATGACCATCTGAAAACATTCGATCCTGGTGATGATGTGCATCAGAAACATTCTGCGTAGAAGCAGAAAATTCAAGTATATTCGAAACGTCATCTGTGTCCCCAGACAGTCCTAGTTTTAGAATCGAATCATAGTCAGATGCCAACCCCTGAGTAAATATGGTTGTCGAACCTTTGTTTTTATTAACCCGGGCTGCACAATAATCATCAGAATATGTACTAGGTGTTGGACCCAATCCAAGCACTAATTTGCACCCATCATCAGAAGCATTTGTATAGATACTCTGTCCTCCATCTTTCGTTCGACTGCTACCAAATGTAGCTGTATCACGTCCTTCATAGCCAAAACAATTCAAAAGTAAAGCAGTATCTCCAATATTTCCGTTCTTCATCAGCTCACGGTTACAAGAGGGAAACTTGCGATTCGTATTAAAATTCATCATGATGTATATTATACTGTAGGAATGATGGGCCAGGTAGCAGAAGAAACTAACATTCTAGCAGGAACATCCATAAATCAAAATGAAAAAGGCAAGTGAAGTAAATCTGAACAAACTACCTCCACCACTCACAAAACCTGAGGTGTCTGACCTGTCCATTATATGAATGTCTTGTGGAAGTATCGGATATTCTTCTCAAAGCGCTGTGTTATGAAGAGAATATGATAACATTTTTGGGACAGAAACCTACCCACCAGTCTTGCCTCGTAGTGGAAAGTCTTCTAAGATTCGTTGACCTGACAGAAGAAGGAACATAATGCCAAACTATTAATGCTTATACAACAGAGAACGCTGAAAGTTCTAAAATGCTCGCCAAAAACAGACAATCAACAACTGCAGAGTTATGATTAGAGTCAATTCATTTGGGCAGAGAAAAAGTAAATGGATCTTAAAACCCAAAAAAAAAAAAGAACTGAAAAAGAAGGGGGAGATGGCGAATGATTATTTTGGAAGGGTTAAGAAAGTAAAAATTCTCAGGTGCACGACTTAGCCATAAAAATATTATTATATTTTTTTAAAAACGAAATAAGAAAAGGAAAACAAACTGCAAAATATAAAAATACGATTTGCCATTCAATCGACACTAACGATTAGTAAAATTTGAAGCTTTAAAAACCCCAATTAACAAGTTTCTTCAAGACAATATATGGGGATATCACTAGCCAGGTAATCTGCTAAAAGTCCTAAGCATGAAGTAAACCTTAATCCAGAGGTCACAAGTTGGCCCGTTTAGCTTCAAAACAGAGCAGCAACCAGCAATGTGCTATTAATTCATTATACTGGGATAGAAGGAATAGTTAAGGACAATATATGTAACATTGATGGTGCAAAGAAGAATATTACCATATTGGCATATCCCTGGCAATATATACCAAATTCGAGGTCAGTTTTTCACCAGATTCCGAAAGACACCATAAGATAAGATAGTTTCCCATTACTTCATCACCACGACAGCAGGGACGGATACAGGTGGTCACTTATAAGCATGTAATGTGCATGGATTATTATTGCATTCAAAATCAAAGTCAAAAGGATCATGCATTTGTTTTCACTGGAACTCGTATAGTCATATAGTGCGCATGTTAAGAAACAGTGGGAAAATGAAAAAGAGAAAAAAAAAATGAAAACAATTACATATATTCAAATATGAGAAATATAACATCTATTTATAAGGAAGCCTATGTGTAAAACTCTTATCACTTACTGGAATCCCTCAGTAGAGACAATTGAAAATGACCAAATATTTAAAACTCAGAAAAATCAAGAAAATAGATTGGGGGAAAAGCTACAGTAATTATGATATGAATTCACCCTAACAATACTAGCATTAAAGGAAAAGCAAAAAAGCAAAGTTAAAAATTCCATTTGAAAATGCTAGCCCCTAAATGGAAGTTGCTACAAAAACGATTTAGATGTCCACTACGAAACCAGTAAATTTTTAAGTGGGCACACGGGAAATGCAAAATGCTCAAATTCAGGTCACCATGATTAAGTCAACAAATAATGCACCAGTTGAAGGATCCCACGTTTATCTACTGTGGACAAGATTGTTAAATAGTCATACCAACAATAATAATGCAAGTGACTATACCAAAGACTTAAAGTAGAAGGTTTCTATTAAAACATATAACCAACTGTTCAATAAGGAGAAAAAGGACAGGTCAGCTGAAGTTGAAAAAGACTCAAGTGGAACCAGGTGTCTCCATAGTGTAATAGAAGCACGTCATTTTACGATATCACAATTTGCTCTGACCCGAATGTATTTATCTTCGCATTTTCATCTCATAAAACTAATGAAGAGGCAAAAAAGATAAAAAAAAACTATAGGTCATGAGTTGATGAAAGGAGGAATGATGAATGAAAAAACATAAGGACAAGAGGAAGAAAGTAAATCAAAGAAGGAATATCCTGTATATTGAAAATTACAACATGAGAATTTGACAGTACAGAAACTACAAGTTAAATTTAACACCTTAGATAGCCTATTTTCTGTTGTAAGAAATGTATCTTAAGTTAATCGTAAGACATAATTAATTTGCTGAATTATGTTTTTAATATATTAGATAGCAATTGGCAAAAAGAAGCCCCAAGAAAGAAATCAAGGAAATAGATAAAATAAGACATTCCAATAAAAAGATATGCATGTTTTACTTACTCTTTTAACTTTTTCAGTTAGAAACTGTCGAGTTTGAAGACTAAATGTGAAGAATATGCAACTAAGGGGCTATGATAACCACCTGATCATGCGACGGTCACAAGGCAAGATGTCATATATCACTCACACACTCGATATTTCACGTACCATTACGGTCAATGAAAACTATGAGAGGATTAATACTTCCCCATCTACTCAAACACCGACAACCTTTCTCTCCCTCTGATCGAATGAAACAATTACTTTAAATTCTAAACCTTAATTAATGTTTCTAAATACAATAGAACAAACTTATGAATACAGTTTTGGAAATGTCAATCTTAAAGTATTCATTTGATATTTTACTAAACAAGATTTGGAAGCCCAAAAACAATTTTTACGTCTCTACCATGCATACTAATCTCATTTTAACTCAGTATTCATGTCTGATTTTCAGGTCAAATCCCTTTATTCGTCTGCAAAATTTAGCAATAAAACATGAGATCTAAAAGTTTACCATAATAAAGATTATATTGTTCAGGAGTTTATGTTTTACTTCTGGCCACTCAGAATCGCCCTCCACCCCACAAAATAAATAAATAAATAAGGGGAAAATTTTCCCATCTTCACATACCCAAAACTTAAATAAAATCAAAATTAAAAAAAACCCATCAAACTGTTTGTGGTAATCTCAAGGCAAAAGAAATAGAAAACCCACCTAAGTATAAATACAGAGGACCTAAACAAGTATTCAATTACTACAAGACAGTACTATAATTCAATCAACTGGAAGAAAAGATAAATAAAGAAATGGAAATTACCCGTTAGACGAAAATTCTGGAAATACGGCGACTTTGGGAAATCATTCTAGAAAACCCCAACAACAGTAATTTAGTCGAGAGAGAGAGAGAGAGCAGCTACAGCTACAAGTTGAACTCGAACGTACAAAACAGCAACTGGAAAGAGAAAGGGAACAAAATTAGTGTTTTAATATAATTGAATTCTTGATTAAGTGCGTCACGTGTCTAATCATATGTCCGAGTTTACCTGAAATGCCCTTTTGTGACAGGGTTTACTTTTTAAAGAAAGGGATTGTTTAAGAGTACGGCATGATTGGGAAGTATGTATTATAAGATTTATTTAAATTATAAATAAATATAAATGAGCAAATCTGATCTCCTATTTTCAATGAGTAAAATTTCTCACTACCGACATGACATAGAGAACCTTAAATGAGAGATAGACGTATAGTACTTGTGCATCCTTCAAATTTGTAGACAAAAATTGATTTGAGTGTTAACAAATATATGTCAAACATATGATTATATTCTACTCGAACCAAGCCCATTCCCATCAATCACAGTGTTCCACTTGATTTTCTCGTGTCCGTTTTCATAATGAGAATTGTATGGCTCGTATAGTTTTGTCACATTTTGTCGTTGGCTTGTTTTATTGTTTCATATTTGCTGGAGACATATCCAGATGATGTAATTGATTTTCATGTTCATTTCTTTTAATTATGAATATTTTTATTGTATATAATTAATCCATTTAGTTCTTAATACTTGAATAGTTTTACATGTGAAATTTTGATGCTTATCTATAACGAGTAATGTAGTATTGATTCTCAATTTTACAAAGGTGTCACTTTGAGTTAAATATTTACTTTAGTTATTCAATATTTATTAACAAACATGTAGGACATGATATAATTTTGAAAAATAACGTTGCAGTTTTTTCGCCAAATTTATTAAGTAGTGATTACATGGTACAATATTTCAAACAGTTCGTAACAATGTGAGACTTTTTTTTTATTATTTACGCAAACTATCGAAATAATTATGTAATATAAAGAAAGAAAAAGAGAGAGCCAAATTGAATATCACGAGCAAAAATAACTTTGGTGTACGAAAAAGGGTTCATTGTTTCAAATTCGGCTATTGTTGGTATTTTCAATGTATAATCATATTTGGAAAGTATTTATAAATATTTTAAATTATGGGAATATATAAATGAGGGATCGATAAGAGTGTAGTGTTTGCAGGTCTCGCGAAATATATGAATAAAAAATAATTTGACAGATTATAAACTGTTTATAAATATTAGCCAAATATGGAAATATGATATTTGGAAAGGAGGGGCAAGGGTAATTAGGACATTAGTTGGTGTTTTTCAAATTGTTGAGGACAGTGTAGGAAAATGAGCGGTGGAGATGGAATTGTCGTGGCACGTCCTAATCCCCCACCCGCCCACTTTGATTTGTTGCTTTGGAAATAAAATATAAAAATAGAAATAGAAAATCTGGCGACTCAGTTGAGCTGGCGTAGTACGGCACGTGCTGTCGGCTTTGGCTCCACTCATGTAATGTGCTGGCTTGACAAATTTGCAAAATAGTCCAAATCTATGGCCCTTTTGTGAAAATAGTCCTATTCTTTTACTCTCGTGTCTCGACACAGACCCCGTAACCTATTTTTTTTTCTTGTGCACTAACAATCCATTTTCACGATTTAAGCCCACTTCACCTTTTAACTTTGTGCGTGCCTCTCACGTGCTCATTTTAAAGGGTAGATTTAGAGTAATACTATTCATTCTCATTGGGGATAAAAACACAGTTTATGTGGCGTTAATGTGTCATTAAATGATATGTGAAATTAAATAAGTCATTTAATTTCACCTTTCATTTAACCTATCATTTAACACCAACTAGACTGTATTTTCATCCCCACTGGGAATGAATAACATTATTCGTAAATTTATCGTAGCACAATTGGTGTACACATTTGCAGGCACCATCATTCTTCCTATGTTAATATTTTGTTATCAAGTTGCGATTTATTTATTTTTACATCAATATGTGGTGCAACTTATTCCTATTTTTCTTTGTGTGAATTATTAGTATTTGTAAAAAGTTTGCCAAATTGAAGCACTTGTGATTTTGACTATCATTGAGAAAATAGAAAAGAAATTGGGCCATTGTTTGGTCGTATTAAAAATTAATTTTGTAGTAA